GCGAAAATCGCACTTTAAGGTGCCGTCACCATACAGTATGGGTAAATTATTACCATACAATACTTTAGGATTGATTTTGAAAGGAGAAGACAATTTTTTAAGTCAATGTTACAAAAAAAAAATCAAATGTTACACAATGACTTATTGGAAACGCTGTACAGCCTAAACGAGGGGTCATTGCAAGTTGAAACTTTGCGTGGAAGTTTGCCTTACCGTAAGCTTTCATTTGAGCCTTGTCTCGTTGACCAACTCGGGTGTACTAGTTTGTTGAACCACGATGATCCAGAATTCCTCGATTCTAGCGCATGTAAATGAAACATTGGTAACGCTGTACAGCCTAAACGAGGTGTAACATCAAGTTGAAAATTTGCGTGGAAGTTTGCCTTACCATAAGTTTATATTTGAGCCTTGTCCCGTTCACCAACTCGGGTGTACTATAGTCTGTTGAACCATGATGATCCAGAATTTCTTGATTATAGCGGAAAAAAATGAAAAATTGCTAACGGCGTGTAGCGCTAAACGAGGGGTCACTTCAAATTGAAACTTTGCGTGGAAGTTTGCCTTACTATAAGCTTTCATTTGAGCTTTGACTCGTTGATCAACTCGGGTGTACTAGTCTGTTGAACCACGATGATCCAGAATTCCTTGATTGTAGAGCATATAAATGAAAAATTGGAAACGCTGTACCTACAGCTCAAACGAGGTGTCACTTCAAGTTGAAAGTTCCCGTGAAGTTTGCCTTACCATAAGCTTATATTTAAGCCTTGTCCGGTTGACCAACTCGGGTATCCAAAAAGGGGCTAAAAAAACACCCCTTTCTGAGGAGGCTCTTTAAAGTTATGATCTATCTGATCACATGTAGGTATACGCTTTTGCCATCCATTTTGACACTATAAATGGCTGCTACAATAGCCGATCTTAAATGATAAAATAACTACGTAAAATGTGGATATCGAGGTAAGTAGTCAAACCATGGTTTGACTGCAATTACCAAAACTCGAGGATGAAGCCCCCCCCCCCCCCNTACAAAAAGAACTTTGCAAAAACATGTGTAATAGAAGAAAAATTCTCAAGTTGACCCTCGGACCCATACCTTGCAGTCTAGCGTTTTAACATAGGATCACCCTTTATGTATCATTTCTGACATAAGTCAGGAGTAATATAGTAGTTCCTTCGCGCTAAATGTAGTCCAAATAACATACCTGCTCTGCACCTTTTGTAGGTGAATGTTATGATGGCTGAGAAACTTCTTGTTGACGTCATCGAGCGCAAGGTCCACGGCGGGTCCGCACCTCTCAAGGTCGAATGGGGAGTTTAGCCGAGAGGCCATGAGGACCCCCACGTTGTAGATGACTGGCGCGTCTAGGAAGGTGCCGGCCCCCCGGCCCCCGCCGCCAACCAGGAGCGTGGCCGCGGTGAGTGTTGGAACGACGCACCCCCATCCCTTCTTCCCCCACATGGGACTCACGACGCGAAAGTGGAACGACGGACGAGCGCCCTCACAGAGCTACGCGGGCGGAGTGGTCGACCTCGCCGCCGCGCCCGCCGGGAAATTCAGCCCAGTAGTGAGAAGGGAAACAGGAGCCTGCGTCATGAAGATGCTGTAGTGATACAATACTTGTTGCAGAATTTCCAGGCGCCACGAGTCGCCGTGGAGGGGTTTCTTTTCCACTCTAATACTCCTATCCCTTACCTTTTTCGGCCGTGATAGTGAAAAGAGCCGTAAATGAAGTTCTGAGAAAATGACCTCAGTGGGGTTTAGAGTGGAAAATTTTATTGAAAGAAGCCTTCGTTCTTTGTCAAATTCCGACCAATCATCCAAAAAACTCTCAAAAATCGCTGAGATGGTTAGATATCTATAATTATTTTTTCTGCAACCGTGTAAGAAGGGTATTTTTCATTTTCATGTTAGACTAATGTCAGACAAGACAGATGTAAGTGCGATCTACTGCAATAGAGCTCTTGTGCGTTCCACGAATTTGTGATTCAAGCGGTAATAACCACATAAAGTCTCCCGAAAAACACGATGGCACCACTGGTTTTCTCTGATTCCAGTGCTTACACGCCGTGAGCCAGCTAGTACCGGGTTCAGCGGCCGGAGTCTCCTGGAACCCGCGCAGCCTCCGAAACCGTGAAACCGGATAGGAGCCTTGCGTAAGTTACGGGTTCCACGATCGGAACAAACCGCTTCCACGGCTGTTGGCAGTGAGGTGAGGTACAGTTTTCGGGAAAATGGCGTCACCATCAGATTCAAATTGAAACGGGCCCGTGTAAATTTGCAGAAAATTATAATGTTTTACGTTAAGGTGATTCGATGGACGCCATATTTTTATGTCAGAACGGCACGCGATATGGACGGAGTTAAACAGAAAGGAACCAAGCCACATCGGGATCGAACCGAGAAAAAGAGGTTTAAAGTTTAGCTCCTGCATAAGACTCAACGTAAACGATAAACTTCAAGTTCAATTTCTGCAAAATTTGCTGCAACAAAAACTTTGAATTTTCGGCGATAGATATTGGAGCAGTGGTTGAGTTCAAAACCACTCATTACTCAATTTTTTCCAAAATGTGGGTTGGTTCCTTTCTGCTTAACTCAGTCCATATATCGCATCAATTGGTTCCATTTTTTCAGCTACCTACTCGTCATTTTTCTCCGAACATGAGATCGCAATTCTGTTATCAGGAGACTAAAGCACTCACTTACCAATTTTAACAAAGAAATTCAACGTAATAAAGGCGTGGTTTTTACAGAGAGAAAACATCGCATTCGATACTGATATCAAAACTGCACTCGAATGCTATATTTTCTCTCTAAAAAAACACGCATTTAGGGTAGGTGGGGGTACCTTTGAGACCCTACTGGAACCCTTTGAGACCAGTTTCAGTCGTTGTCAGGGATGTAACAACAATTTGGAGCCCAGGAGATGTTTTTTAAAAAGAAAAATTCACCTGCGAACTTTTGATTCATTAAATGTGGCAAAAGCACGCATTTTCACATTTTTTTAAAAAAATTCGTCAGGCCATGGATTTGATTTCTAAATTCGGACAACGCAGGGCACTTGTGCGTGAGGGCTTGCGGTAGGTGCCTGACCCCGTTTCCCGCCTTAAAAGTCGATTCGGTCACGGAAATACAGGAAAAACCAAAGAATGCGTACTCTTACCCCCACCTACCCGTAGGTGGGGGTAAGAGTACGCACGGGGTAAAAGTACGCACCGCACTTTTTTCGCCCGCTTTGTTTGAATTTATGATGGCACCGGGTGTTGGGTGTTAGCAATATTGAGTCTCGTCAGTTGACGAAGTTTTGTGCGAAGCGGATGTATTTTGACGGAATTATGAGGCAAATTCACTTTTCATGCGAAAAAGATCGATTTTTGTAGTATTTGTATTGTTTGTTGTGAGTAGAATAGTTGATGGAAAAAAATCGGACAGGCACCATATCAAAGTGTTGTATTGTTGGCTTTAATAATCCGTATTTGTTTTCACACCTTGGGCCTTGGGCCCTAAGTTTTAGTTTATATCGTCCAATATTTACAAATGGGGCAAGAGTACGCAGCCAAGAATGGGGCATAAGTACGCGCCCAAAAGTGGGGCGTGGGGGGAGGGGGGAGGGAGGTATATAGGAATTTCAACATAGAAGATGTAGGCAACTCAGTATCTTAATACATTTTTATGTTCCTTTGTTCAATTTGGGCAATTAAACTTTGTTTTTTTCAGTTTAAAAAAAAATTGACTTCGAAAATTATTTGGGAGCTTGTGGGGACTGAATTATTTATTTTTTTTTCACAGTAAAAGTGGTTAGGCACTACTGGAACCCTTTGAGACCAGTTTCATTCGTTGTCAGGGATGTAACAGCAATTTGGAGACCAGGAGTTGTTTTTTTAAAAAGAAAAATTCACCTGCGTACTTTTGATCCATTAAATGGGGCAAAAGTACGCACCTCCAAATTTTTGTAAAAAATTCGTCACGGCTATGGATTTGATTTATAAATTTGGGAAACACAAGGCACTTGTGTGCGAGGGCTTGCAGTAGGTGCCTGACCCCTTTTCCCGTCTGAAAAGTAGATTCGGTCACGGAAATACAGGAAAAACAAAGAAATGCGTACTCGTACCCCCACCTACCCTACTTTTTTCATTTTATATTTTAATCACTTGAAATGTAGTGAAGTTTCACAAGTTATGTTTCCTTAAGAATGAAACTAAGAAAAACAAAATGCAAAACCAATAATTATAACCAAAGATATAAAGAAAAAAAAAGATGAAATGATGAAAAATCAATAATCAACTTATAAGAAATTTAAAATAAAGATGTACCTAAACAATTTGAAAACAAATAATCAAATTTCATTGCGGGAGCGTTAATAATGTTTCATTTAAAATTAATATGAATTTAATGGTATTAGGCTATGCTATGTGGAATAAAAGAAAAAAATTTAACCATGGTGAAAATAGTTTTGATACCGCGGCGCGATTAATATATGAGCCGATTATTTTCCAAAGCCAATCGCCAGTCTCTAATTTGGTGGTAGAGGGGTTGTTTTTCCTTTGTTTTCTCGGGTATATTTAATCATGTCTGATTTCAAAATAGCCCTCTAAAAGATTAAACATTTTTTGGAATTCTAAGATTGTCGACAAAATGATTAAAACGGATTCTCTTCTTTTTCTCGCTTTTCTCGCTTTCGCATTGTTGGCGCTCACGTGATGTGAAAAATTATCGGTTCATATGCTGGAGACCCGTGTAGAACACGGGGTCTGGTCTGCCGTCAGGGTCTCCGTCAGGGACCATTTTCATTAGATATTCAGTAGATATCCGGGTCTTTTTCATGGTGAGGAAATAATTAAATACTAAAACAAATTCAAAAAAAAAAAAAAAAAAAAAGAACACCTGAGAAAAGCACCACGGCATGACGAAATTTTTATTATGACAGAAACTATTTCTCCAATTTATAAGTTATAAAGTAATGTTTGTTTTTTTTTGAAGACGAATGAACTAATCGAGCACGAAGTTTTACGATAAAACGTTTATTTGTGTTCTAGTATACACACATCATCATTGGTAAGTACAGTTTTATCCAATCCATGAGATAAAACTCAAATAATAATTTTGATACTTCTTCAGCTTTAATGACATATTCTCCAAAAGATTTTTAATATTATTATTTGTTTATTCTACAATATGGAGACAGTGATCATATTTACATACCTTTATCTATTCACAAAAGAGACATGTATCTACAGCTCTTAGCATCATTCTTATTGAAACTTACATATTTTGAATGAACCTAAACGTATGTCTAAAAATAAACACGAAAAAACACTAAAAATTGGCCCGAATTGGATGTACCTAAGAAGGTGAAGAAATGGTGCTGGGTCAACACCATTTCGCGGGGAAAACAAAGCATTGCAAGGGGGGGGGCGCAGCTCAGGCAGCTTGCATTCGAATATTAGGTCGAGGTCACGCCCAGAAATGTATACCGGATTGGGCGGTTTGGGTCTTTTTGGACCTCATCAGTAGAGTCGTATTTTGTTCGGAGGCAACACTCGCAACACGTTGTGAAAACAAGCAACAATCGCATTTGTTCGAAGTTGTTTTGTGTTGTGGAGGCGGGGCTGATTTTCGTGCGCAAAACTTGAGAACTCCTGAAGCAACATTGTTGTACAACAACTGCAACGTGCTCAAAGCAAGTCCTTTTTATGTTGTTCAAAAAAGCTACGCTGTTTTCTAATCTAAAACTGGAAGTTGCTCTCTAATTGGTTGTTCAGAAGGGCGGCACCCGATTCCCTCCCGAGATTCCCTCCCGGATCCGATTCCCTCCCGCTAATGACCGCTGCCCAAGTCCGTTTCCGATTCCCTCCCGCTAATGACCTTTAATAAAATGAAGCGGCAACGTCGCATTAATCATTCAACTTACCATTTCCAGAGGGAGGCGCTGTTTCCCGTGAGTGTTTCAGGAAAATTAGGGTATATTCACAAAATTATGATGATTTGATGAAGAAAGTGGGCTAGGTTGATAGAAAGTTCTCAAAGTCTGTTTCATATGTATGTGTTCATATGCATGTTGTATGTAGTTTTTCTGTGAAAATCCGGCAGCCATGAACATGACTTACTACTGTGATTTTATTTTTTGTGTGACGCATCTCTCTACACCCCTTTTAGTTTTTCTGTGAACATCCGGCAGCCATGAAGAGGGTCATAGAAGGGAGAGAGGGTTCTCAAATTTTGTTTTATGCTTGCATATGAAATAGACTTTGAGAACTTTCTATCAACCTAGCCCACTTTCTTCATCAAATCATCATAATTTTGTGAATATACCCTAATTTTCCTGAAACACTCACGGGAAACAGCGCCTCTCTCTGGAAATGGTAAGTTGATTAGAATGATTAATGCGACGTTGCCGCTTCATTTTATTAAAGGTCATTAGCGGGAGGGAATCGGAAACGGACTTGGGCAGCGGTCATTAGCGGGAGGGAATCGGATCCGGGAGGGAATCGGGTGCCGCCCGTTCAGAATCGCGTAAGAAACAACAAAAAAAAAAATGGAAACATTTTGTTGTTTCGAACAAAACACGTCTTAGATCACACTCTTCGGTGAACCCAACTTAGCATCCGCAAAAAGACGGCATGAATATGCCTTCATATTCGGGTCATATTCATGGCGGCGTTTTCATGCCGTATCTTGTATTTTGCGGGATGATAAGTTTGGTTCACCAACGAGTGTGATCTAGGTACTAATGAGTCTAAGAAGGCCCAAACCGGTAGGGATAGATCTCTCGGCGTGATCTCAACATAATACCTATATCAATGCCAGCTGCCTGGGCTGAGCACTCCCTCCTCCCCCCCCCCCCTCATTCTTGTACTGGTACGCATAGAGCAAAAATTGTCTTGACTCCAATTGAAATATTTTCGGAATTTCTTGGCTTTATTTTCCCCGCGAAATGGTGCGGACTCGGCACCATTTCTTCGCCTTGTCTAAAAATAAATTAGCCCATGGCAAAATCTAAATCCTAAAATACTTGGTAAAGTTGCATCAGATTTGCAGTAAGAAATTTGAATGATAAAAAATCTCAGTTTTTTTCCAAAGAGGAAACAGCACAGAAGTGATTTTTGAAACTGTCATTGAAATTCCAGATGTTCAGCAACAAACTTACGATGACCAGGGTGTCTACTAAAACAGGCTGGCAAAAAATCAGTACTTTTTCTGTACATTTCCACGAAATTCAGTACCTCCTCGGCTGAAAAAATGCAGTACTTTTTCAGTACCTACCTGAATTTAACGAAATAAAAAAGAAAATTAATTTCTCGCTCAAATTACGACGAAAATGACAGAATAATTAAAACAATGAGTCAGTTAAGTCATTTTTTTTTATGTGTCATTCGAAAGTAGTAAGTGACCGAAGCTTACGGTTTTTTTCCTAAATTTTTTTGATGACTGCAAACAGGAGAAAAGTTTATTTGAAAGTGTCAAAAATTAGGGTGGCCTAAAACGGCGTTTGAACTGCGCGCTCGTAGGTCTTGGACGTACACGTCACGATCAATATGGCGGCGGAAAGCGTAGTGGAAGAATACACGGCGGCGACGCGTTGGCGGTATGTTTTTGTTGGTCAATTGGATGTTATGTCGGTTACTTTGTTTGAAATTCATATCCATTGTTCTTAATTCTCTAAGCTTCTCAATCAGAATGCGATACAGATGTATGTAGGATATGAAACATTCACACAGAGCTCACTTAACCTCAAACGCGAAATCGAGATGTCAACAATGACAGTGTGGTGGTAGTAAGCAGGTCGGCTTCGCCGCCGCCATCTTCCCGTCTTATGACGCGTAGATCCAAGAATTCACGGCGGTCGGTTCAAACATGTTTTCGAGGACCCCTAAAAAGGAAGCGTTATATCTCCGCGGAGACAATATTTCGTGAAATTTTGACGTGCGCATCGTTCTTCTCGTACCGAAAACTGTAAGATTCGACTATTTGCAGGCAAATCCCTCCCGAGCTTAACTGACTCTCCGACCTTCTTGCGGAGTTTCCGCCCTTTTAAAGTGCTTGCGGATCGCTCTTATAAAATTAGTACTATTTTATTTCTGGAAATTCCGGACTAGTATAGACACTCTGCCAATTGTTGCAATGAAGCGAAAATGCTCATGTGCTTCGTTCCTTTTAAAGTAGCTCCGTTCTAACCCTAGTAAAAATTGGCTATATCTAAGAGCCTGCATTCCAAAATACTATGCCGAGTTAAACAATGCGATAAAAAATTATTTAGCCGGAGCTATAGTTCCTATCGCCGCGGGCTACAGCACATAGCTTCGGTTGGCACCTTATACTTATCGCCATCGCTTGTAAAAGGCCGGAAGAAACTAGGGGGCTACGCCCCCTGGCCGCTACGCGGCCCAACCCCCTGAAGGCGCTCCGCGCCATCAATGGGCCGCTTCGCGGCCCTATTTTTACCCTCCTATCAGTGTTACTTTTATTTTTCCCCCCAAAAAGTACGATATGAGGTATACTTTAATTTTAAACTTTACTTAAAATTACTTTAAAATTAAAAGGACGCGTTTTGGAATGACTGCTTGATGAAATATTGCAGTAAAACAATGAACAATGATAGTCAGGTAATAATCAAGATTTCATGAGTCGGGGATCGAACCCACACTGTCATCTAAGCGGATGTATTAGACATCATAGACGACTCGGCCACCGCTCAAAGTGAGATCGTCAGTGCGAATCTTGTGTAGATAAGTGTAGAGCTGATGCGCAGGCTACCCAGCTACTGCGCAACCTCCTCGACCATTGCGCATCCTCCCGCGCATAGCGGTAGCGGTACCGGAGCATTCTGTAAACTCACTCACTTTTATAACGTGATTTTAAAAAAACCTGGGTCCTTTTTCCAAAATCTGATTGCAGCGGGCTCATCTAGGGCATATTACCTGTCGATTTACGCAAAAATCATGGAAATCGGCCCGGTAGAACGCTCAAACGAACTATGACAAAAAGTATAAATTTACATTGTTTAAATGGGAGAATTCGCAACTTTACCACGTAATATAAAAAAACCTGGGCCATATTTTGAAAATCTGAAAAGAGTTGGCTTATCTAGAGGCAATTGCCCGTCGATAGCCGCAAAAATCATGAAAATCGGCCCGGTAGAACGCTGGAACTAAACGTTACCAGTTTCGTAAAATTAGGAGGTCTCGGAGCTTATAGTATAGATTGTATAGCCAGCTATAGAAAGCTATAGGAAATCTTATAGTCGCGGCTATAGGTCTGTGGTATTTTGGATGACAGATCAGCCAATTTTTACCATGGATATGAAACCTCATGGCATTACTAGATAGAAAACAGTGCTATAAATTTTTAAGAAAACATAAAATTTCAGTGTCTACGTTTGGCTTCAAATACACTTGAGTAATTACACTCTGCAGTTGCCCAAAATGGACCTGGAAGATCGGCAAACATGTCTCAGAACGCTTCACTTCACTCCTTGTTTAGTGATTCATTAATCGACACACAAAAGCGGCTCTTTAGGGCTGGGCGTTGCCTACGAGAATGGAGAGGCCGTAACTGCGTTTTTTTGACGTCACGCTAGTAGATGAAACTCGGCCGCGGTTTAACATGTGTTCTAATGGGAGAACGCCTGACGTGTGTTTCTTTCGTGCCGCTATCTTCTCGGGGGTGATCTGATGCAATAATTCACAAAAACCTTTTCAAAAGAGGATGGAATTCCACTTTAGAAAACTAACTAACCCATGTGTGACATTGACTAAAAATCGAGGAAATGGAAGCTTAATACCGAAAATCGTTACTCCACTCAGATTCAAACGGGCCGCTCGCGCATCTTCGGCCGATCGAGGGCCACTCTGATTGCTCCACGCAGCGACTGCCTCACTCATCGATGCACCGATGTAATGACCCGGAGATGCTTGTTGTTTTCGGTAAATATTTACTAGCTTGACGTCACAAAACTGACTAGTTACGGCCTCTCCATTCTTGTAGGCAACGGGCTGGGTCCAAGATTAGCATCGCCTAGATTTCGGGTGGTCACCACCAATACCCTCGCTAGGCCAGACACTAACCCAAGTAGAGCCGGTACTAACATAAAATCGTGGTGATACCTACCATTAATGTCTTTAAACATATACCTAGACACTGGACCATGAATTTTCTGCCATGAATGGTAAATAAATACTTGTATGTTGGTGTGTGAGAATAAATTCTCTATTCAACTTGCGAGGTCATTTCCGCATAGCGCGGATATTTTTTCACATGGACATGGTGAGGGTGGGTTTTTGATTTAGATCTACTTTATAAACTCGCTCATCAATTATATCGTTCTCCTCCTCTTCTGGCTGTTCGTTCTCATTGGAGGTCCTGTAACATACGATTGCGGAAACTACTATACATGCACATTCAATGAGCAATAGAGCAGTACGCATTTGCTTACAAGGATAAGGATAAAAAACTTGAAAAACATGAAACCTGATCGAATGCTTAACGTAGATGAAACAAATCCAATCTGGCATAAATGGATGTACTAGGTTTCGTTAAAAATTTGCAGCTGCAACTATTCAAGCCTCTGCCCCTGGTTGCTATTTTTACATGAGAGGCATCTACAGGGTGTCTCACGAAAAAGGAGCCACCTGGAATATAATCTGGCGAACGGGTTGGAATTTCGAAAAACGGTAAAAGACGTGTTCGTTTATATCGTGGGGGACACCTTTTGACGTATTTTAAATTTTCCCAAACTGCAGGAGGGGCGCGGGGCGGGGGCTGCCCCTCCCGTAAATCAAACTTTTCAAATGGCGCCCCCATATTTTTATTTCAGAAATTGATTATACGCAAAAAACAAGCCACCCTGTCCAACCCGGATGTAAATCGGACAATTTTTCAGTGATTGGTAGAGGTTGAAACATTTTTCTAATGCTCTTTTCAAAAAATCCCCTAAAAAAAGAAAAAATCTCCTGTACTCGAAAACTGGAGCACGCGGAGCCCTTTTCTTCGACATTAAGATGCGTTTTACCGAACATTTCCGAGGGGCGCCTGGCGCTCATCGGGCGGGAGCACTAAGTTTTGGACACGAATCAGCATTCTTTTTTCTGAAGCATAAGAAACCAAATCCACGGAAACACAGCTAAATAGAAAAATAAATGGATTACGATTACCTTCTTTCAGGTGGGTTTCAATGATTTGAGCCGGACCTTGATGTTTTTAAGAACGCTATTTTTTCGCGGTGCGTGGCAATTTTCTGGAGTTGGTATTGAATGTCCGTCGAAGAATAAACGGAACGTTTAAACTTCTCTTTTCTTGAAAATAAATGTTCTCATGAGTAACAAATGATTTTAAACATTCATCAAAACATCAGGTGCGGCTCAAATCATTGACACACATCTGAAAATAGGTAATCCATTTATTTTTCTATTTAGCTGTTTCTCCATGGATTTGTTTTCTTATGCTTCATGTTAACGCCGCAACGAATTTCCGGCATTAACGTAAGTAGCCGGCGGCTAGGTTACGCAATCTGCGCAACTTGGCAGCCATGCCGCCGCGACTCGGCGACCGGTCCAACCGGGCGTAAGTCCGTCCGACCCGCGGCGCGGCTCCCGGCCGCGTCCAACGCGTCCACGCGTGTCGTCTATAAAAAGGCAGCCGCCAGGCGTGCGGTCATCACTCGATCATCACTCTTCGATCAGTCAAGTCCGCTGCTTGCGCCCCTGAACAAGGCTCTCTGCTTTCGATCCTGCAGGCTGATTATTTTCCGCGTCGATATCCGAGTCGATAAGTTAGCGACTCACGGATAACGACTGAATTCTAACGACGTTCTTTAGCCGAGTGATTATTTACATCGAATTCTGCTGATCGTTACTCATTGATCGATAACTTACCGTCGTTAAGTTAGCGATCTGGATCCCAACGTTGCCGACGTGAGAGATAATAATGAACCAATCAGAGAGCGTTTACGATACAAGCAGCGCTTCAACTGCGCGGCGGCGTAAGTTGAAAACAACGCATCTCTTTTCTTGACGTCACGCGGGTATGTTTTTAGGTTAGGTTAGCTTGCCGCGAATCGTTAGCTTAGGGGTTGCCGTAGAGCAACCTTTAACTTATCGACGGACTCAAATATCCCGCCACGGTTTAATGATCGGCGCGGAGTGAAATAATCGCTCGATTATACTTTCGCCGCTAACGACGGCGTTAACGTAACGATTTCAATATCGACGCGGAAAATAATCAGCCTGCTGGTCTTCTCTCCACGCTGCACGGTAATACATAGAATCTTTCTTTTTACCTTCTCTCTCTCTCTTTTACCCGGCTGAGCATCTCGGCTGGGACCTCTCTCTCTCTTTCTCTTTAGACCCGACTGAGTTTCTCGGTTGGGAAAATTTCTCTCTCTTCTCTTTTTCTTCTCAACGCGGCTGAGTATCTCGGCTGGTAGCCCTTCTGAGTATCTCGGTGGGATTTTCTCTCTTCCTCTCTTTTCTTCTCTCGGCTGAGATTTCTCTCATTCTCTCTCTTCATCTTGGCTGAGTATCTCGGCTGAGCTCTCTCTCTCTCTCTCTTTCATCTCGGCTGAGTATCTCGGCTGAGCTCTCGATCTCTCTCTCTTTCATCTCGGCTGAAAATCTCGGCTGAGCTCTCTCTCTCTCTCTCCCCTCCCGGCTGAGCTCTCTCTCCCCCCCTCATCTCAGCTGAGCTCTCTCCCTCTCCCTTCCCTCTCATCGCGGCTGAGTATCTCGGCTGGTAGCCCTTCTGAGCAATTTGGTGGGACCTTCCTCCCCCCTCCTCTTCTCCATCCTCCAAGGGTCATCGCTATGGACGTTGCGATCATTCGCGATCGCTAATCGTCCCCACCAGCTCTCCTCTTTTGAGAGCGCTCTCGGGCAGACTCTAGCCCCTCCGCTCCCCTCACACGGGCGTAAACACTTCAGAAAAAAGAATACTGACTCGTGTCCAAAACTTATTGCTCCCTCCCGATGAGCGCCCCTCGGAAATGCCGCAACTTATGTTTTGATGAATGTTTAAAATCATTATTTGTTACTCATGAGAACATTTATTTTTAAGAAAGGAGAAGTTTAAACGTTCCATTTATTCTTCAACGGTCATTCGATACCAACTCCAGAAAATTGCCACGCACCCCCTAGTAGCAGAACCATAGAAGGAAAAGATAAAGATTATGTACGGAATGTTAATTTTTTTCTATATAACGCATGCATACGAAAGTGTTAAAAGTGAACATTTTTATGTAACCATTATGTCAAAAAGTCATAATTTTCGTGAGCTTTCCGCAAACGTGCTAAAAAATCTTCTAATTCGCGGAAAGCTCACGAAAATGATGACCTTTTTTTATATAATAGTTACATAAAAATGTTCACTTTTAACACTTTCGTATGCATGATTTACATAAAAAAAATAAAAAATTGTCTATAAAAAAAAAAATTACCGTATCTAGTTTTTATCATTTTCTATATATTATGGTCAGGTCTGAACTTTGATTTTTTTTAATATAAGCGTTACACTTTTTTTTATATAAAACTACCATATAGATAACAGATATGTTTTTTAATACTTTTTTTAGAAAAACAAAAATTTGTTCTGCTACTAGGGCCGCGAAAAAATAGCGTTCTTAAAAACATCAAGGTCCGGCTCAAATCATTGAAACCCACCTGAAAGAAGGTAATCGTAATCCATTTATTTTTCTATTTAGCTGTGTTTCCGTGGATTTGGTTTCTTATGCTTCAGAAAAAAGAATGCTGATTCGTGTCCAAAACTTAGTGCTCCCGCCCGATGAGCGCCAGGCGCCCCTCGGAAATGTTCGGTAAAACGCATCTTAATGTCGAAGAAAAGGGCTCCGCGTGCTCCAGTTTTCGAGTACAGAAGATTTTTTTCTTTTTTTTTCGAAAGGGCACTGCTTAAGAGTTTTTTTGGCGGAGAGTTTGGATTGATACGGCAATCCCATTCGGCGTGGGGATTTTTTGAAAAGAGCATTAGAAAAATGTTTCAACCTCTGCGAATCACCAAAAAATTGTCCGATTTACATCCGGTTTGGACAGGGTGGCTTGTTTTTTGCGTAGAATCAATTTCTGAAATAAAAATATGGGGGTGCCATTTGAAAAGGTCGATTTACAGGAGGGGCAGCCCCCGCCCCGGGCCCCTCCCGAAGTTTGGGAAAATTTAAAATACGTTAAAAGGTGTCCCCCACGATATAAACGAACACGTCTTTTACCGTTTTTCGAAATTCCAACCTGTTCGCCAGATTATATTCCAGGTGGCTCCTTTTTCGTGAGACACCCTGTATAGGTACTCAAAACTCGCTAATCTTTTCTCAATTTGAAGTCCATACAGGGCCGGATTTACCCACTAGCCGCCCATGGGCCGCGTGTATAAGGGTCATTCCATATAGAACCTACCAGCCATGCAACCGCCCGACTCGGATTTTGATGATAAATTTTTTTCTTGATCAGACCACCAAATACTGTTGCTAGAACTGTTGCTAGTGTTGACAGGGCTTTTACAATAAATGTGCCCAACACGAGTAAACGCGCCTTATGCACCCCTCCTCCTCTGGCAAGCTCACTTATGGGTCATTCCATATAGAACCTACCAGCCATGCAACCGCCCGACTCGGATTTTGATGATAAATTTTTTTCTTGATCAGACTACCAAATAATGAACTTCTGCAAAATATTAGGTCTCAAATAAAAAAACTCACTGAGATATGAATTTTTGAAGTTTTAAGAATTTTCAAGAAAGTGACGTTTCGAACTTCCGAGAAAGAGAGGGTCATTTTTCCCAATAAAATTCACACCGGGCCCATTTTTCATCGGATTGAAGTGAAAATTTGACACAATGTCAATGAAAGTATGTAGATTTGAGAAAAAAATGCATGAAATGCTCGACTTCACTCATTCATGTGCTGCGGTTGATTGTTCGTTGTGATTATGTCTGATTTTGGCGACAAAACCTTCCTCTCTTCAAATGCCCATAAATTTTGAGCTGCAAGTTATTTTTTGCTCCAATTTTTTTAAAATGCTCCTAAGAGTATTAGAAAGACGCCTAAAGAACAATTCTGATGGCGTTTTGGGCTTTAATATCTTTTTTTTTCACTTTTGTCCAAAAAAGGCGTAAAAAACTGAAAATAACAACAAAATTATTCCGATAATCGACCATCACCCTGGAAAGTCAACTCATAAATCGCTCATTTTTTGCCTGAATCGTCCTTACTGTGTGAACAATATGTTTGAAAAATAAAATCAATGGCATTTTGGGTTTAAATATCTTTTATTTCGAGTTTTTGCTAGAAAAAAGGCCCGCAAAACTGAAAATCACTGAAATTACGCCAATTATTGGCCCTAACTTTGGAGTAGCAACTCAAAGATTGATCACATTTTTACTGAATGGTTCTAACTGCATGTGAAATGCGTCTGGGGAATAAAAGTGATGGTATACTGGGTTTCCACAACCCTTCTCCCAGCAATTTTACTCAAGAGAGGCTCGCTTAACTGAAAAAAGTGCTAGGCTCCGTGAAAATTAAAAAGTTTTTTGAAGTAAATTTAATGCTTCGAGTTGAAAAAGCAACTAAGTTCTGAATTGAGTGAATCAAGGGCAAACCTTAGATATTTAATTTCAGAATACATTTGAAATTTATTAACCTCATAATGATGCCATCCAGGAGTCAGTAAATCACATTTAAGTGTGAATAGGGATGCCCACCAGTTAAGATATACCTGCAATTTTATTTCCTTCCTTTAAATACCGATCTTAAAGATAGGAGTGAAGGAGAAAACTACTACAACCAAAAATACACTATTTTCACCTCTCAAGTTAGTGAGCTTCCCATACAACAAGAGTCTTTTGGTGAAAAATCTGGGCCCCCAATCAATTGTATTTTTAATGCAACGGTCGGTTAATGAGATTTCCCTAGCGCTTTTTTCAGTTAAGCGAGCCTCTCTTGAGTAAAATTGTTGGGAGAAGGGTTGTGGAAACCCAGTATACCATCACTTTTATTCCCCAGACGCATTTCACATGCAGTTAGAACCATTCAGTAAAAATGTGATCAATCTTTGAGTTGCTACTCCAAAGTTAGGGCCAATAATTGGCGTAATTTCAGTGATTTTCAGTTTTGCGGGCCTTTTTTCGAGCAAAAACTCGAAATAAAAGATATTTAAACCCAAAATGCCATTGATTTTATTTTTCAAACATATTGTTCACACAGTAAGGACGATTCAGGCAAAAAATGAGCGATTTATGAGTTGACTTTCCAGGGTGATGGTCGATTATCGGAATAATTTTGTTGTTATTTTCAGTTTTTTACGCCTTTTTTGGACAAAAGTGAAAAAAAAAAGATATTAAAGCCCAAAACGCCATCAGAATTGTTCTTTAGGCGTCTTTCTAATACTCTTAGGAGCATTTTAAAAAAATTGGAGCAAAAAATAACTTGCAGCTCAAAATTTATGGGCATTTGAAGAGAGGAAGGTTTTGTCGCCAAAATCAGACATAATCACAACGAACAATCAACCGCAGCACATGAATGAGTGAAGTCGAGCATTTCATGCATTTTTTTCTCAAATCTACATACTTTCATTGACATTGTGTCAAATTTTCACTTCAATCCGATGAAAAATGGGCCCGGTGTGAATTTTATTGGGAAAAATGACCCTCTCTTTCTCGGAAGTTCGAAACGTCACTTTCTTGAAAATTCTTAAAACTTCAAAAATTCATATCTCAGTGAGTTTTTTGATTTGAGACCTAATATTTTGCAGAAGTTCATTATTTGGTAGTCTGATCAAGAAAAAAATTTATCATCAAAATCCGAGTCGGGCGGTTGCATGGCTGGTAGGTCCTATATGGAATGACCCATAAGTGAGCTTGCCAGAGGAGGAGGGGTGCATAAGGCGCGTTTACTCGTGTTGGGCACATTTATTGTAAAAGCCCTGTCAACACTAGCAACAGTTCACGGAACTTTGCGCTAAAGTTAAGTTCCATAAACCTATCTCTGTGTGGACACTTAAGAAAATGGCCGAAGATCAATGTCATAAGAAATGGACGAACAAATTATGAAAGAATAAATGAATGTGGTTTCATAATTTTAATTTTCGCCACCGCGTCAACCGCACTGTGTTTGGCGCAATGCGTGAAGTATCCCTACAGTCTTCTAGACGCTATGCGTTTCACGCCGACCGCTGTGACCGCACTGTTTTTGACGCTTTGCGTGAAGTATTCATGCAGTCATGAGCTTCACGCCAACCGCTGCTGATCCTGACCGCACTACGTTTGACGCAATGCGTGAAATATTCATGGAGTCTTGTAGACGCTAATATGTGTTTCATGCTGACGGGCGCGCCGAGGGCTTCTCCTTTTCATCTCAAGTCCTCGTCATCATTGCTCTCTGCGCCGCGCCGCTCCAGGCCAAATTGTGTGTTTAGTTTCTCTCTCAACTAGACTAATGAAAGGCGCTGTCTCTTGTGTCACCGAATGACGAACAAATTGGAAATAACTACACTGTAACTCTCGGGAAATGAGAGATTTGTCGCCTTTTCTCGTTCGTAATTTTTTTTCTGAATCCGTTTTTTTTTTTTTTCTTTTTATATCTACATTTGAAAACATTGCAACATTTGCCGCCTTCTAAATTTGCCGCCATGGACCGCGGCCCATGTGGCCACTCCCTAAATCCGGCCCTGAGTCCATATACCTACAGTTAACTTTAAGGCAGGAATCTCATTCGTTATTTTCACTAACACAGACATAAAATTAAATAATCAAGAAATAATCGAAACTTACGAGTATTTGGAGTAAGCAGAGGAAAGAAACAAGGATTTAGTGCATTCCTTGAAATATGGCCAACATTCTCCACCCAATCCGGCACGCTCTGCAGCTACATATTCTCCCATGAGATCGGAGAACGGTGACTTACTCGCTCTAAAATGTGTACAAATCATACTTAAATAGAACGTACGGTTAGAGAATTTCTTAGAGGAAAACTTCAGAATAATGAATGCTACAGTTAACCAAGGGGGCGTGTCTCATTATGACAACCCTAGTAGCAATGGCTGTTGAGAAAAGTTGTAAAAAACTCGTAAACTTTACAAGAACTTAAAATTTACTTCAAAACCACTCGAAAATCACGTAAAAAACTCTTAGTCGGGGAGAAATACGGAAAAAAAGGGCTTAACCCGGAACAAATTGCATAACAATTTATTCCTGTGTAAACGTCATCAGTAGCTCCTCCTGAACAACGTTCAAAAAGTTTTCCGCGGTCCGACCCCGGAACACCCCCAAAATTACGAAAATTCAAAATGGCGGCCATGATAAGGGCCAATGGGATTTGGGTATTTTAAAATGTTCCTATAGTGTCATGTGAGGTATCATTTCCTATGTAATTTTGGTCGCAGATTTCATTTCTGAAGTCCCAAAAGCCCCTAGGTCAAAGGGGGTGACCCAAATCCAAGATGGCGGCCAAATTTGAAAGGCAAGAGGGTTATTTTTCAACTTTTACGTGATTGGGCAAGTGAGGTGTCGTTTCCTATGTAATGTTGGTCGTGCATTTCATTAATGATGTCGAAACAGATCCCCGGTCAAAGAGGGTGCTCTAAATCCAAGATGGCGGCTAAATTTGAAAGGAAGGAGGGTGATTTTTTTACATTTTTACGCAAAAAATGCGAGTGAGGTGTATCAATTGTTATGAAATTTTGGCTGTAAAGTTCATGTCTCAAGTCAAAACAACCCCCCCGCTTATAGGGAGTGCCCAAAATCCAAGATGGTGGCTAAATTCCAATGGCGGAAAGGTACATTCTTGAAAAACTATTCACCGAACAAGGCAAGGAAGGTCCTATTCCGTGTATTTTTGGTCAATGAACGTAAATTATGTGTTTAAATTTTATTTAATAAAACAAAGAGAAAAATAGTACTTCCAAAAAAAATGTTACGTCAAAAACGAGCGTTCGCTCTATAAAATTAACAAAAGGCAAAACATACTCGTTTCCAATTTTATTACGTCTTCAGCATTCCTTGACAATCTCTGCAAGAGGAATTTTACGGGTTTTATTCGCCAATTTCCTATAACTGGACATAGCATGGACTTAATTAAAAGACTTCTTATTCGGCACACTTTTCAAATCTATGGAGTAAGGTGGTACATACGAAAGAATGCAGATCTTGATATCGTTGAATAGGGTGTTGCAGCTTGCAAGAGCACCAACATAATTGTAACAGGAGAGGATCCGAACCTATTTTTTTTTTTTTTGTTAAATCGATCAGAAGGCGTCGATTTTTCTTTGCTCTTTAGAAGTGATATTAGACGCTAAATCCAAAACTATCGCTTACAACATCCCTTATATCCATCACAGATTTAGTCAATGTGTATAACGTAAGCAGCTCCTGTTCTTAAGTGAGTTTACTGGTTGCGACTTGACCTCTCACATGCGCGGAATCAGAAAAGCAACTGGAAAGCTGAAAAAGTTGTAAGAATACCTGTCTATGGTGCTAAAAAAATGAGACTTTCAAAGACGTATGTCATCAGGTTTTCAAGGAAAAATTTAGCAGCTTCCAAAATCTTCGTCACAAGTAGAGAAATTAATTCGGCCATGAAGCACCATCAATTTAGGAGCTAATTTCGAAACCAATTAATGGCGGATAAGCCGATACAGATACTTGTCAATGGAGAGAATGAATAAAACAACGAGCTTCATTCCATTTTCTACTGACTTGCCTCCAGCTCCAGAATCGCTGCTCAATTAAAATCTTCAGGTGTAATTTTAAGAAAGGGTTTGACACCATGCGGTGTACTTGTAAGATCATGTCCGGACTTCCTCAGGAGCAGAAGTTGTGGAGACTCGGACTCCAACTGTAAAAACTCGGAGAAACCCGCGGTAAACGGTCCTGACAAACCTGACACAGAATTTGAATCAGCACGCTCTTTCAGATTTCCTCCTATATTGACTAAAGTAGATCCGTCACGTTCAATTTCCTCATCTTGATTGAGAATTGATGAACTTAAAAATGAGCGAAAATAACTCAATAGGTGCTCCTATTAAATTTTTCTCATACCGTGAGCAGGCACGATGGTCACTATCTTGCATGACACGTCTCATTTTGGACTAAAATTCATCTTTTACATTTAAATTAGACCTGATGACTAAAAATACACAGAATAGTCACCTTCCTTGCCTTGTTCGGTGAATAGTTTTTCAAGAATGCACCTTTCCGCCATTGGAATTTAGCCACCATCTTGGATTTTGGGCACTCCCTATAAGCGGAGGGGGGGTTGTTTTGACTTGAGACATGAAATTTACAGCCAAAATTTCATAACAACTGATACACCTCACTCGCATTTTTTGCGTAAAAATGTAAAAAAATCACCCTCCTTCCTTTCAAATTTAGCCGCCACCTGGATTTAGAGCACCCCCTTTGACCGGGGATCTGTTTCGACAGCATTAATGAAATGCACGACCAACATTACATAGGAAACGACACCTCACTTGCCCAATCACGTAAAAGTTGAAAAATAACCCTCTTGCCTTTCAAATTTGGCCGCCATCTTGGATTTGGGTCACCCCCTTTGACCTAGGGGCTTTTGGGACTTCAGAAATGAAATCTGCGACCAAAATTACATAGGAAATGATACCTCACATGACACTATAGGAACATTTTAAAATACCCAAATCCCATTGGCCCTTATCATGGCCGCCATTTTGAATTTTCGTAATTTTGGGGGTGTTCCGGGGTCGGACCGCGGAAAACTTTTTGTACGTTGTTCAGGAGGAGCTACTGATGACGTTTACCTAGGAATTAATTGTTATGCAATTAGTTCCGGTCAAAAAGTATTTCTCCCTGACTATCTTGAAATCTTCGTATCAGGAGACCTTTCTAGGGGCTTTTTTTAGATGAAATCAAAGAAAAATGTTAAATAAAATTTTTTACGTAAATTGTAAGTAAAATTTACGTATTTTTTTATAAACTTCCTGCAGGGAAAACGAGGGGGAAAAAGTGGTGAACAGAAAAGTATACTTAAAAGGAAAAGTTGCAGCTCATAAAAATTCAGGACGTTGTTTTTTTTTATTTTTACATTTTCTTTTCATTATAATAACACTATTTGTTTATTAAAAAAAATTCCCCAAACGGGTTTCCTAAAACGAGTATTTTGTGAGTTGTTTTACTTTAAATTTTCGAACTCTTAAAATTTACAAGTTGTTTACATTGTTTTTCATTTTTTTTTTTTTTTTTGACAACTTTTTGTAGAATTTTTGAAGAGCCATTGCTACTAGGGAAAGAGTCGATTTAGGAGCATCATGATAACTGTTACTACAGTTGTAATTCAAAAGATCTTACTATAAGTATTGGTAGCTATTAAGGAAAATCCCATCTTATGATCCAAAATTAACAAGTTGGTTTTTGCAATCGCTAGCGATAGCAATATTCGTCATGGGAACTTTTGCTTCTGGGTTATGAAAATTTTAAGGTACAGTTCGTTTGTAGTATCTTCAGAATTGAAGGGGCTATGTAATTTTGTGTCGACATCTCTTTTTTAACATTTTTAATTTTTTTTCTTTGCATACAAGAAAGCTGTTGTTTACCAATTATTTATTTTCGTTGGATTATGTATGGTTTTTGGAAGTTAACGCATTCAACTTTCAGTTTCGTTTTTTCGGCGTAAAGTATGGTATTTTTACTCTACGCATATGCCCGAATACGCATCATAACGACGGTGAAACTACCAAACCACGTATCTCGTTTGCGGTGTTTAAAAATCTCCGCTCACATTTTATTTTTTTGAAGTAGACCAAATCAATATCATTCCTTGAAATTTTCACAGAATTTTCTCCGCACGAAGAGGAAAAATCACGCAAATTTTCAAGACTGGACGTTAAGTAGCTTTTCATTCAAAAAATAAAGTATGACAGAAAGTCTGCGACGTCGCAAACCGAGATACGTGGTTTGGTAGTTTCACCGTCGATAAGTGGGTGAATTCAAATAAGGGTCAAATTCCAGGTTCAATTTCCTCCCAAAATTTTTTTGTGAATTTTTGGGCAAACTAAACTTTATTTTGACTCTCACTAGGTGTAGACTTAGGAAATATAGCTCGTCGAGCTTAATAGTTATGCTTAAACCCGAATTTCCACCGTCATGTGTATCGCCTCCCAACATTTGCTTTAATTTTGCCTGATTTCCCAAATTTTCATCTCAGAGGTGACATATAATACTTTTAATTGAAAATTGAACGCAATTGTCATAAAAGCATCGTCGAGCACTAAATTGAAGCATAATTGAAAACATGTAGCCCTTTCATATCTTACAGCACCAAAAAAATTCATCCGTCATGAAAGATATCTGGAGCTTATTCTGCTTATCTTTTAGACAGTTCAGTCTGTTTATCCTACTGTTTTCCTTTAACACGAGAAGAAGCTTTTATTTCTTGGAATATTGCAATACAAAATTGATCAAAAACATCGAATTTTAAAACTTCAAGTGGGCGTGTACCCGCTGAAGTGGAGGTAAAGCCAGGAAAAGTTTGAGGAATTGCATTAACATATCAATTACACCGGTCAACGTTTTTTTTTTTTGATTTTCCGAAGATTTGCCAACGGTTTCTGAGTAGATTTTTGGCGCTGATTCCGAAGATTACCTCCATTTACCTGTATCAGTGCGACTTATCCCGGGAAAGTTCGGAATTTTTCCGGAGAAATCGGAATTTTTCCGGAGAAATCGGAATTTTTCTTAAAAATCTAGCTTTTCCAGCAGAGTCAATCTTCCGGGAGAATCTGTGCACGATGGAAAAAACCGAGGAATTTTTCGATTTCGTAGCCTAAGATACATAAGAAACCATGTATTGCACCCCTATTAAAATCTCCTTTCTTTTCCTAATGCCAAGGTTTTCCGGTCCAGCTTCATTAAAATCAATTAATTAGTTACTGAGATAGCATTTTAGGCAACGTCCGCCATCTTGGATTTTCGAATTTTGAAAATTCGACTAAAAATTCGAGTTTCCTATTCAAAAATACCCTCGGGTACCAAGTTTCGCGTAAATCGATTGATTAGGCGCTGAGATAGCATTTTAGGTCATGTCCGCCATCTTGGATTTTCGAATTTCAAAAATTCGACAAAAATTTCAAGTTTCCCATTGAAAAATACCCCCGGGTACCAAGATTCGCGTAAATTGGTTGATTAGACGCTGAGATAGCATTTTAGGTCATGTCCGCCATCTTGGATTTTAGAATTTCGAAAATTCGACTAAAAATTCAAGTTTCCCATTGAAAAATACCCCCGTGTACGAAGTTTCACTTAAATCGGTCGAAAAGAGCGCCTACAGGGCTTAAACAAACAAGCCTCAGGTGATTAGGCGCTGCAATAGCATTTTAGGCAATGTCCGCCATCTTGGATTTTAGAATTTTCAAAATTCGACTAAAAATTCGAGTTCCCCATTGAAAAATACCCCCGGTTGCTGAGTTTCACTTGAATCGGTAGGAAAGAGCGCCTACAGGGCTTAAATAAGCAAGTCTCAATTGTAACAGTTTTCCACTCTGTCCCACTGAACTGGGACATGGGACAGGATGGAAACATATGGGACAGGATGGAACGGGACAGGATGGAATAAGCTGTTTTTTAAGCTTATCTCTAACAATAAAGACAATTTTGGTGTTTTTTTTCACGGAATATTTAGTAGCACGTCCTAGAGGATCGGAATAAGAGAAAATTTTCTCTAACGCACACTTCGAAAGTATTGTACGAGCTGATATTAGTGTGTGTGTGTGTATGCTTGACGCCCTGTTAGTTATCGTGTATAGCATTCTTCTTGGCATCATTAATGGCGTTAATCTTGCACAAAAATTTGCGAATTTCAGAATTTTTGCCATCTACGACGTGTGAACTAGTCAATCAAAACAAAAAAAGTCGTTTTTGGAAAAACCTCAACGTTATGGCAATCATTTAGAGCTTATTACATCGTTGCCATGTCTCTCCTGACTGTTGCTCGGGACAATGATTCTAGCGCGTGAAAAAGTTATTGATGGAGCAAAAAATAAATTGACATATTTTTTCTCAAATTCAAAAGCATTACCTATCATCTCCGATAAAGTTTTCTAAAATAATCACTCTAGTTATGCTGCAACATCGATTTAAAGTCAAGAACCACGCACGGGGGACACGCAAATTTGGGACAAATGTAGGCAATTTGCACATTCAAAGTTCTCCTAAATTTTTATTTCAGTCCAAATAAAGTGGGAAACAGCATGTAATCGTCAACAATAGTGTGGAAAATGAGAAAAAAATTTGATCCGCCCATGTTTCTTAGATTATGACGATCAAAACAGCTGGGGACACCAGATTAGACGCTTATTTGAACTCACCCACGTGACCTATGTGCTTCCTAAGTTCCCATTTTTTTCATTCAAATAGATGTAACCGAAATGTTAGATGTGTACTACCTATACTACTTTCATGTCATTGCTTTATTTATTTATTTACTTTTTGCGTAGGTATAAATTGTTATTTTTTGTTGAATTTTGGAGAAAATATTGCTTTAAGAACGTGGAATGTAAATTAATTTTATTGAAAAAAGAAAATACCATCATCAATTTGGGCGAACAGAGAAAATATACATAAATATTTGGGTCAACATCTCCCTGATTATATAAAGGATGAATATATTAGTATTTCTG